TATAGTACTGTTCAGAGAAGTACCGGTGAAATAATTTTGTTCACTGCCTTGTCTATATATTTTTAATGTTTTTGCCACTAACTAAATACTAAAACATATTGGAAGTTAGTTGTATCATATTATATTTTCATCAAAATTAATAGTAGTAAGTAATAGAATCTTACTTTATTATATCTTCTATTTCTATCTATTATTTCATCCTCGCCTCTAAAAATTAGGCGTATAGTTTATTTCTGTTTTATTATCCAACAATTAGATCTCCAAAGTTGATTTGGTAAACTTTACAACCAGAATTTCTAAATATAACTACAATTTGATCACTGTTTCGTCTTTCATTTATAAAATATACAAAATGTTTATTTTATATCTAATCCACTAAATTACAGTTGGTCGAGGCGTATTCAATTTAAAATATGATTTCTTTTATACAATATTTTGTGTTATCTGGAATAAAAAAAAACAATTTCAACCCTTAAATACTTAAACTTAAATTTGGTACCGTGGTTATAAATCGTATAGGACTACAATAGATTTTATTTTAAAATTAGGCTGCTTACATGTTACCTTTGACTGATAATCTCGAAGTTAAAAAACAAAGAGGAGTATATAACGAAAATGTATAGAAGCATCGTTTTGTTTTTTTTTTACTACAGTAAATTGTATAATTATACATTTTGTAATTTGATTTAGAAAATTAGGCTTTTAAGGGTTAAACGACAAAAAATCATCATGTTAGTAATATAAATATTAGGATATTTTAAGGTATTACTTGTGAAATTTTAATTTTATGGGAGACAATCCATTAAGAGGGGTTTCACAGCTAGAAAGGTAAATATTCAATAAGTTACAAATCCAAAAATCTTAATTTAACACGAATTATTATTAGGACTGTCAATAGAATTAACATTTGTAGTTATATTTGAATTAATTTCATCATTAGAATAATTATTACAATCTGAAGTATTAATTTCAGCATTATTTAAATTATCTGTTCCTCTATCTACTAAACTCCCTTCATCAATACTATTTCTATTTGAATTCTCATTTGATTCTGTCTTTTCAATAATAACATCAACACTCGGTTTGAATTCTGTTTCTTTAACCTTGTCAGGTAAATCTGGAGGTCTGACAGTGGAGAGTGTGGTGGAGAGGAATGATGATTGAAGGTACCCTGGCAGCAGCTTGGGCTGGAGCGGCAGCATGAGGTCGAGGGCGCCGGTGGTGGCGGGGCGCGGCTGCAGCGGCGGGGCTGTCAGCAAAGGGGGTTGTAAGGACGCCAATGAGATAGCACCGCACTGCGTGATGATAGGACTCTCCACTGAAAAAAGGATTTTAAAATACTGTAAAATAATTTTATGGGTTACAATAATAAAATACAACAAAAATGTAAATTTAGATGAGAGTTTCATTTTTTATTTTTCTTACAATACCGATCTTGCAATTAATATTATTTTTTCGCAAGGTTTGGAATAATTACGCATTCAAGGTGATTCATGCAGGAATTCAAATGTAAATTATAATAATAACACCTTTTGGCAATTAATTTAAATGTTATTGATTATTTTAATTGACCTGTGGTTTTAGGAATTTACTAATAGATGGCATTAGTGAAACTAATAAAAATGTTTCAAACAAAGTGTTAACTAAGTCTCCTCTATTATTTGATCTCTGCATGCAAGGAAGTAAAATTGTTACTACATTTTTTCAATTACCTATAGGAGCTCTGGCTTGTAGAGGTTGAGTAGTGGCGGGAGGTCTGAGCAGGTTTGGAGGACCTTGAAGTGCCAGACTTATCATATTCATTCCGTTGACACCTGAAAAAAGTTTATTTGTTTGAATAATCTCTTACTAGACATAAAGCAATCTTAAAAGTTAAAGAAAGTTCGATTTTAAATATTTTCATTAGATGAGGTCTTTTGATTTTAATGCCATCTATTTTTACATTTCTGAAACATTGCTGCCCCTTACCGAACTTATTATTCGCTGGCGATAAGTCTTTGAGAACGACCGGATGTTTAACTGCATTCACCCTCCGGTTGGAGGCGCTGGCGTCGCGTTTCCTTCGAGGTTGTTCCACCGGGAGAACTCGCCGCCGCTTCTTTGGTAGTTTTGATCTTGCCTGTCAATAGATGGCGTTAATTTAAATTATGAAAAAAGTTTTACAGTAAAGTGAAATGATATTTACAAAATGAATTACGGCGACCTAGTATAATAGCGTAAATAAAAATGTATTAAAAGTTGATCTTTCAAAAAGGCCAAAATTTAGTACGAAATTTATATACACTTTTTCGGTATTTCGCTATTTTGTAAGTAGTGTACTGCTACTTTATTTTTTAATTTACATTGTCTAGTTTTTATTGAATCCATTTAGAGACAGCATAATAACAATTTAAGTAGACATTTAATTAACAGAATAAGCAGTATTTAATATAACACTCAGCAGATGGTGTTGTCGACTGTTAGGGGCTGTAAATAAGTCGCGAGCGGGCAATTTGTGCCACCTCTGATTAAATTCTCTCGCCTTACAAGTGATTTGTGGACACAATCTTTGTTACCGTTATTAACTGGATCGTAGCTGATAAACATAACTTTAATTAAGTACTGTAAAGCATATGCTACTCGTCTTTTTATGAATTTAACAGTCATCGGTTTTATTTTATATTTCGTTACTTTTCATTACGACACACTTAAGCAATACTAGCAGTCTTATACTGAAACTAAATTTAATACTTCGGCGTTGTCAGCACTGCTTATTTAGAGTTAGTGGCAACAAGACGCTGTTAGATATTTTATATCGTTTCGGTATTCAGCCTTAAAAGTTTTGTCATATCTAGAGTTTGAATTTTAATATATTTGTACTTCACTGGTTTCAAAAATTATTTCACCATAAGAATGCCTCTTTAACATTTTTTTTATTCATTTATGCAAATATAAAATGTCTAACATGAAAAATGTCATTTTGAACCGATTCATCATCACCAGCTCACTATACGCCCCCACCGAGGAGTTCGAGGCTTACCCTAAGTTTATCTATACTATTATAATAAAGCGTAAACACACATTTCTTCGTTGCCTAAGATCTCAGCAATTACAGCATATTTTTGAACAATTCTTTTTTTAATAAAAAGCCCTACACTTACGTCACGCTTTGGGCTATATATTTTCACGCCATTAAACTTCGGGGTAAATATTTTGGATAAAAACCCTTATTTGGGAAAGAGACCATATGTTGCTGCCAACATCAAGGAAGCAAGATTTCCATAGTAAGGTAATTGGTATTTTGACATTTGAGAATTTGACAAACAAACAATAAATTTATAATATCGTGCTGGTGAAGCCGCCCGCGAACAGCTAGTTTTAACATAATTAAAATACTAAAGCATGTACTAGGTACTAGGTAAATCTACGTGTTTAAACGAGGTATTCCTATAGTCTGCTGTTACCGCAGAGGATTGTGTAATATGACCTCTGCTGCTTTGAGACTTGAATTGAAATGCTCTCCACGAGGATATTCTGAGTTTAACTACAAGCTACAATTAATTTACTATTTTAGATTACGTCTGCAGGCACTTTGATATACATATTAAAAATGTAATTGAGTAGAGTTAATGTTTACTACTTTAGAGCTACTTGTGAGTAAGTGTATTTCATAATTTTTAGTACAATACCGACGTCATTTAAAACTTTCCTTTATTTAAGGAATTATTTCTTTTCATTACAAAGATAACAGAATGAAGTAATAAATTTGAAGGCTATTGGTCGTCGAAATGAATGCTACTCAAAAATAAAATATTCACTTATATATCCGTTGTCCGAACTTTACTTGATTGAGTTAAATGGAACAACCGCTGGACAGCTTGAGAGATACGAACTTTCAACTAATTCCCTTGTTACCCGTCTTACTAACAGATAAGTAAATCATAACTTGAATGTGCTTTTGTAAGTTAAAATTCATATTAAATTATTTTTACACTCCTAAGTTTTATATGACATGTATTAAATTGTACAAGAGAATTTAATTTGGTTAAAATTAATACAAGCTGTCGCCTGTGACTTTCTGGGAGGAATAAATGTTTTTTTTTTAATAACATAAGGTGGCAAACGAGCAAGCGGCCACCTGAAGCCGCCAAAATAGCGAAACGACCGCTGCCCATAGACATCCGCAATTGCAGATGCGTTGCCTACCCTTATCAGACGGAGGAGGAGACGCACATAAAGAGGATATTTCCCCTTCTTATGCATCTCCTCCACTGCCAAATACACTTCCTCTTCCCATCCTCTTTTTATAAGAAAAGGGTGGTAATGAGAAAGGGACTTAAATTAGGTCAATTAACTCCAATTTTAGAAAGTCCCTTTGAGTAGTTATGGAGACACGTAGTAATAAACATCCGTCCATAAACTTTTGCATTTATACATTTGTAAAAAGTAAGATTATGTCACCCAAACTTAGGGTAGGCTCCGAGCTCCTCGGTGGGGACGTTCAGTGAGCTGGTAATGATGAAGATAATTATGTAGTTTTTTAATTGAATCCAGTTGTATTGTTCCAAGAATTAAGGGATAATTTAATTTTATAAAAATGTCTAGTAGTAGTAGCTTTGTTGCATAATAAAATATATTTTTAAATAGTATCTACAAATGGTACAAGATAATATCGTTTTTACTCATCAGTACATTAGCGAAGCGTATTTTTTCGCTTTTCTGTGAGGATTAAACAACATTAATACGCTGTAAATGATAAATAATGACTAAAGCTTTTAGAACGGACATCGGTTATCAGTAGAGCTGTTAATCATTTTGTTTTATTACCAGTCAAGTAATACTGAAATACTTAAAATGATATTTAGTCAATTTCTTTTATAATTGTAGATTTTAATTAGAAGTTTAAAAATAATTATAATGATAAATATTAGAATTTTTAATCAAAATAGGTCTTATAAGCAATGTCTGCTTAAATTCTTAATTATACAGAATGAGGTCTAAAATAATCAATCTTTTCAGCAATATTATTTGATAATTTTAATTAATTACACAATTCAGTGAAAAAGCTATATATCTTGTAAAGTTGTTATGTATTTAATTACGTCAAAGTTTTTGACATATGCCATGGCGCGGATAGAATTTAATAACAAACCTTCGAAGGCGACAGCTGTTAGCTTAGCAACTAAACTTAATAAATAACTTGAATGTCAAACAAATTTAAAAGCTATAATAGTTGATTCCGACCACTTCAAGTGTTATTTAATTATCAATTAAGTAGTAACTTAATGTGGATTTCTTTGCATAAATCTACGCTATTTTACACAAAGTTTAAAAGGTTCTATAAAACATTATACTGACGCAAGCTTTAATGTGGAGACTATATTTAGCTCATCAAAGCTTTGGTATTGATTTACTTTGCTTGTGCCTCTGCCAGCTAATTATAAATGATAAATTAATTACAACCAAGTATTAAATTAGATAAAATATACTTAAGAAAAGTTATTTAGAATAGAGCTCGCCTAAAAAACATAGTATGTTATACAAAATAAGTCAATTTTACAAATGAAAACCATTAATTGAACAGTGTTTCTGTTAAACAATACTTAGTTATAGAAAATCTAAAATTATGTATCAAGTAACTTTATTCCAGCTCTACGAGTTCTACGACGCTACGCTAATAGCTACGGCTACGTGGCTACGATTACGCTTTAAGTCAAATGTTTTATTTAGTCGTTTTTGATAGATCGGTATTTAAAAAACTATGTTTAAAATTCATAAATGAAGAATACTATAGGCATGTATTGTATTATATTTTACACAAAGGTTGTTCATCAGTCAATTACAACTAACTAACCTGCATTTATCTGTATATTCTTTAAACTATTTGTATATAAAAGGTTTTGTCACTAAAAATCGAACAATACAGTCAATTTGGTTTTCAATCTCAATTAAGGTCAGATGTCGACCTTTTCAAATACTAATTGAAAACTATTTGGGATCAATATTTTAACACTTTTAGCTGTATTAAAACACAACTAACTTCTTTGTTTAATCATACTAATATTATAATTGTGAAAGTTTAGATGGATGGATGGATCGATGGATGTTTGTTAGAGTTTGTAGCCTAAACGGCTAAGCGGATTTTGATGAAATTTGGCATAGGTGTAGAGGATAGTCTGGAAGAACACATAGGCTTATTCACTTTTGTTTTTTTCAATACCACGCGGACGGAGTCGCGGGCGAAAGCTAGTAATATAATAAAACATTTGAGAAAATAATTCAGCAAAGCACTGCCACGCCTCCGGATTAAATATTTTGAAAATGGAGTAATTAAAAGTCTAATAAAATTGTGTTTTAAAGACGAAAAACAAACAATTGAATCGTATACTTTTGAACTATAAATGAAATGTTATTTTTAAAGTTATTTTAAGTAATGCCGCGATATTTAGGTCGTTTATAGCTTTCAGTACTAATGGAGGCTAACCAATTGACCTTTTAGACGTCTGGTCTAAGCTAGTATTTAGGTCAAACAGTTTCCAGATATTTTCAAATCTAACTGAGATCAATTTCAATAATTAAAATGATTTTCTATAATATTTCAGTGAAAAAAGACTATTTTTACGAATAGCATTGAAATTACACACAAGAAGTAATTTGTACTCTATATTAAGAGGAATAATTAGTATTTTTGTATGTATTTTAATAACTCAAAAACAACTGGGCCAATTTCAAAAATTCTTTAACCATTAAAAAGCTACATTATCAATGAATAACGTAGGAATTATTTATTTACAAAATTTAATAATTCCACGCTGACGAAGTCGCAAGCAATAGCTAGATAAATTCAATGATAGCCATCAGGGCTGGTTATAGGATTACGGGCTCCCTGGGCACGATTTCAAGTTACTATGTGCTTGTGGCGCCCTGGGCTGTCGCCCTGGGTGGTCACCCTCGCCCTACACTACCGGTATATTAGTACACTTACAACTACGTGACATAATAAAATAAATTATAATAATAAATAATAAAAAGTTAAAAACACATTTTTGGATGTCTTGTAGAATAGAATATGTCTAAAAAAGATATTGATGTATCGACGTTAACCTTTTGTAAAGAAATAGGTGATACGTTTATGAAAAAGCAAGTCATTGAGTTAAATTGCTAAAAACATCTTATGATTGATGAAGTTTTTTATCAAAAATGTTCAATATAACAATATTTATTCTTAGAGGTCAAATAATGTACATATTAATATTTTATGAATATGAAGAAAAATCCCTTAAAAGTCACCCTTAGTTATGCTATGAATGTAACATAGAAGGATCAATTTAGATTTTCAATAAGCTTAAATAACATAAAATCGTGTAAAGATTGGTTTCCACGGACATTTTTGTAAAAAAAACATCGTTACTCTATTGTTTCACACTAAAACTCACAACAGCGATACAATTTATGTTCTCATTGTCTTAATTTTATGTTCTTACCTGTGTGTGAGAGTAGAACATTGAGAAGTTGGACACGATCACTGGAACTGGCAAGGCAATGGTCAATACTCCGGCCAACGCACAGAGCGCGCCCACGAACATCCCTAGATACGTCTTCGGCGCCATGTCGCCGTAGCCCACGGTTGTCATGGTAACGATCGCCCACCATAATCCTAACGGGATCGACTTGAACTGATTCTCTGGGTTATCCTGGAATTTGATATTATTTTTGTTAAATAGCTGTAGAATATTGAGGTTTTATTTTGCATTTACTTGGAGAGTACATTTATGTTTCTAATATTGTGGAAAGCGAAAGATTATATGGATAGATAGATGTTTGTAGCCTAAACTAGAGAACGGAGATCGATGAAATTTGGAATAGATATAGAAATAGTCTGGACGAACACATAGGCTTTACTTTAATCCACGCAGACGGCGTCGCGAGCAAAAGTTAGTTTTATTATTGAATAATGGATTTTTTAATTGCTAACTAAAGTGCAATATATTTATCATCGATGCATTTTACGAATGACGACGAAAGTTTTCGTCGATGCGTAATTGACAGGCAATTAACTTCCAGCGCTGTCGTGCCCGAGCACGAAACGAATATAAAAATCCACTTCCACTGAAATAAAACGTTCGCATACCAGTCGACCGTTATTCGCAAATTAATAAAATTTAGTCGCGTTTTGATTCCTATAAGCTTATATCGAGGTGCGCACACTAGTCGATTTTTTAGTTATGCAATTAAACAGTTGAATTGCCTGCGAAACAATCGACAATGGTACAACAATCGTGCTATAATTTAGTCAAAGGTGTGCGACCGCTGTTAGATTACTAGTTACTTAAGAAATATTCTTACCTGAGATTTCTCCGCATAATACACTAAACTTGCGAAGATCACAATACCTAGAACTAAGAAAAACACTAGAAGCGTCAGCTCCTTGGCAGACGCTTTAAACGTATGCACTAATATTTTTAAACCCGGACTATGTCTCGTCAACTTAAAAAGTCTAAGTATCTTTATAATAGAAATAAACTCTAAAATGTCCGCTTTATCAATATTTCTTTTAACTACAGTTAATTCTACAACAACGTCCATGTAAAAACTTAACGTTGCGATAAAGTCTATAATGTTCACTGGGGATTTGATAAACTCTATTATGTTAGGTGCTACCTGAAACAAAACAGAATCATATTAATAACTATTACGTATTAAGACTAGACTAATATTTTTAGTACTTCTACAAATTAGTTAGGTTATTATTACGCAATTTTTTCACGTAAAAACAAAACACTAGCGTGTTCTATTCCTACAATAACGCCATCTATGAACAAAATTGAGAAACAGAATAGTTACTCAAATGGATATCAAGCGTATCGTAAAATAACAGCATTTTCTGAATATACAATGTTTTAACAATTAAACGTTTTAATTAACGTCTGTGAGAACTTTTCAATGCAGCTACATAATTTGTTCCATTAAATTTAAAGTCTATTCCCGACCTGCGCCTGGCGCGACTCCAACATATGAGCTTAAAATTGAAATCAACACAATGGCTTTCAAATAAACGGAAATATCTTATCTTGAAATGTATAAAAATAAACATGTTATATACTAGCTTTATTTCATTGTTTACATTTGTCAAATTCTCAATTGCAAATGTCAAAATTACCATTAACATAATCTTAATTCCGTAAGGTTGGTAGTTTGAAGTTTATGGTCCCTTTCTCACGTGAAGTTTTTTTCTAATTTATTTGCCCCCTAAGTTAATAGTACAAAGTAGTGTGTGTTTTTCGCTTTATTATATTAGTATAGATTTACTTTGCGACTACAAACAAATGAATCCCGTTTAAATAGACAAATAATTGCTTAAGAGCCTGTGACTATTAAAAGTAACGTTTGGACCTATTTGTTATTTGTCTATTAATAATTAAACATTGATACGAACACCAACCTTCTTTTAAACAGCGTATAGCTGGTAATTGTATTTTACTAGTTAACAAATATATAAAAAAATTCACCGACAAGAATTTACAAACACGACATCGCGATCTTATTTACAGAATCTTTTATTTAAAACATACACCTACGTTACTTTTGATTTCTTTTTAAGTATTACTAAAAATAACTTCATATACCACCAGTTACTTAATTTAAAACCCTGAATACACAGTCATTCAAAAATTCTATCGTGTAAATATAACAATATTGCACAAATTACATTTACTATATTTATGAACAATACAGTTCATTGCGAACTCTCCGCTCAGCTGAACATGAATTGCTCTCAAGTTGTTCATTTCGTAGGCAACGCTGCGTCAGACACACTTTTATACATGAACACGTGTATGCACAAGTTTCTAGTACAGAAAAACATTGCTATTAATACAGATTTTTAAAAACTCAATACAATAACCGTATTCATAAGTCTTTGCCAATTCCCATGCATTTTTAGTACACCGGAAATGAGATACAACAGTTTGACAACAAACTTTGGTGTCATAGTCTGAACTGTATTCTTACAAAAACAATTGACAAAATAATGTTATGGTTATGGTCCGGAATATTCATTTTTGATACCCGATTTGAAAATGCACTAAAAAGTGTTTGAAACTCGCAAGAAAGACAGAATTTTTTAGGATAAAAGTAGGCTTTTTCGCTAGTACGTGTTTCTTTCACCAAAATTCGTTACACAAGAATTGCTTGCATATAATATAGTACCGATTGAAGCAGTACTCGCTGCCCGATATGTCTATAGGGTCTTAGCACTTTTGGGGAAAAGGTGGCATTCACACCATGGCTCCCCTTCTCTAACTCCGGCCCTGGAAACAACCATCCAATCATCCAAACTTGCATTAACGAGTACAATTTCAGTAAGAATTACAGTAAACTTTCGTACTCTTTTATGTAACCACATTTTGTGTAACAATTTCCCAAACAGAGAAGAATTAGGGCGAGTTCCCGCGGGATCACACCGGAGTTTGGCATTGCCGGTTATCCGCCCTTACTAATGAATTTAATCTGACATCTTAATCGCATTACTTATAACTAAAGCCACTCTGAGAATGAGAAGATTCATGCTCCGATAGTTACATCACATATAAATGTTGTTATTTTATATGCTTTTTATATCTATACTAATATTATAAAGAGGAATAATACGTGATTTTGTGTTATTTTTATTATCTCTGTATGTATTGAAATAACTCAATAACTAATGGCCCGATTTTAAAAATTCTTTCACAGTTAGAAAGGTAATTTATTTGCGAGTAACATAGGCTATATCTTTAATTGTTTTTTTTTTTTTAATTTTGAGCGGTCTAAATCTCGAGCAACACCTATTGCGTATAAAGTATTGGTAAATCCACCATTAAATAGATTGCAAGCCGATTCAATTATTTAAACAGATATTGTAAATATTTAAAACATAAAAGGATTTGTTAACCAAATACAATTAATGTGCGTACTAAATATTGTTTATTTTAAACTTCTTTATCTTTCAGGCAACACTCAAATTTTCAAAGAAAATAAAAGTAAAGAGAGCTTTAATTACTTCTCTGAGCACATAACCTTTATATTTCGCCGATCGAAAATCATTCACTTCAATACTTTCCCATTCATTCAGTGTTATGAATGACTTTGATTTGGCTTTCGCGTTGATTTTAAAAGCAAAGTATGTTCTATAGAAATGTTTGTATTGACGTAAAATATTATGAGTCATAAATGGTAATCATTTTTTAACTACAAAACATTTGACTACAATTACTATATTCAAATGTTTTATTAATAAGTTACTTGTATTTCCATCTGCAATACTAATGGTTGATAAATGTTAATTTAATTATAAAAAACTAGCTTTCGCCCACGACTCCGTCCGCGTCGAATAAATAAAAACAAAAGTGAGTAGCCTATGTGTTCATCTAGATTATCCCCTACATTTCTGCATAATGTCATCGAGATCCGTTTAGCCGTTAAGGCTACAAGCTCTAACAAACATTCATTTAAACTTTCGCATTTATAACATTATAGTAAGATGGAATAGATGTAGACGATAGTCTGGAAGAACACATAGCCTACATACTATTGTTCTTTTTAAATTCCACAAAGACGGAGTCGTGGGGAAAACTAATCTTACTAATATAATAAACGCGAAAGTTTAGATAGATCGATGGATGTATGTTAGAGTTTGTAGCCTAAACGGCTGAACGGATCTTGATGAAATTTGACATAGACGTAGAGGATAGTCTAGAAAAACACATAGACTACTTACCTTTGTTTTTATTAATTCCACGCGGACGGAGTCGCTGGCGCAAGCTAGTATTAAATAAAGGACTGAACATCTTGTATCTATCGGGTAACAAATTGAAATCGGAATCAAAAAGGAAGTGGAGAGAAGTGGAACACGTCCAATTTAGTGAACTCTTGAACTATAACTGTTGCATGTAACTTATAAGTAGTGATTTATAAACCTCTTGGAGTTCTTTTATAAATGTATTTGAAAATGCTGACTTTAAAGACGAAATGTAATTTGTGTCTCCACTTATTTGTTCCGAAAGCTGTGATTGTTTTAGTTAAATCTTGTTTGCAAACACTGTCAATTGTTATTAGTTGAAACAAGACAAATCCGATCAATTTGTAACCAGACAGACGGACAGACAGTTCCATTTTAATCTGCTTTAAGTCTTCATTTGACTAATGATTTGAGCGTGTAGAATTTTACTAAAAACACTCGATTTTCAGTATTCGTAAAGAAGTATTAACCTTTTGTCTTAGAAGACAGATTGTCGAAATATATTGTGAGTAAAGGAGTAATGCTTTTTTTACTAGCTTTCGCCCTCGACTTCATCTGCGTGGAATTAAAAAAAAGCAAAAGTGAGCAACCTATGTGACCTCTACAGTGCTAAATTTCATAGAGATCCAGCCATCTATCTAAATGTTTAGTTGCACTAGTAAAAATTGAGTAGTGTGCACACCTCCACGTAGGAATCAAAGCTCGACTAAACAGTTGTGCGATAGTTTAGTCAAAGGTGTACGCTCTAAAAGTACTTGGTATTGGGAATTACGTTCGCTTCGACTTTCGAATCCGACACTAGGCAACGTTATTTACGAGTCGTATTTCTAGAGGCTTACATTGTTGGAGCAAGTTATTTACTGGAAAATGTGAAAAATTTGGGAGAAAAAATAGTTGTGTGCTGATTTAAAAATATTTTAATAAGGTAAGTGGGTTATTCTAACCAATTAACGTATTTATTCTGTAAATTTGACTTTTTATACTTTGGATAATAAGAATAATATGGCATTATAACAATCACTATCTTAATAAAATTTCTTGAAAGTTGTAAACTGGCTGTTGCGACTTCGCCCACGCAGTATTAAGAAAAAAAGTAGTCTATAATATGCCCGTCTATGTCAGCTACCCTTCAGTGAGAGTCCGGTCGAAATCGGCTCAGCCGCTTCGGAATAAACGCGGCTTGAGGGCAGACAGACAGACAATTTTATTTAAATGCGATTTACGTTTTAGGCAACGCAAATATATCATCTTCCCGAAATCTAGTATTTTTTTCTTTATATATTACAAACAGACACTCAAATTTTATTATTATGATACAACAATTCGAGAATTTTATTTCTAATCGTAAGTATTTATTCAATCACGTTATACAATTTTGTGTACACAATATTACAAATTTTAAAACATTCTTAAACCTTACATTTAACAATTAAAACAGTACTCTAAAAATTAAAACGGTTTAACTATACATAGAGCATAGCATCAACCTAAAGAGGGCATCTTCAACATGGCGGCTAAATGAACAAGCCTGGTTCAGAGTAGAGTGTGCTTCAAGAATCACATTTTATTTATCATGCAAGAATTTATAGTCGTTGTTTTAAATTTGATATCTCTGTTGATTTTTATGGTTTATATTTATTATTTTAAATCTATACTAATATTATAAAGAGGAAAGATTAGTATTTTTGTATAAAATACACTCAAAAACTACTGGACAGATTTCAAAAAATCTTTCACCGTTAAAATACTCCGTTATTAGTGAGTAGTATATGCTGTGTTTATTATTTTTTTATTTCACGCAGACGAAGTCATGAGCAACAGCTAGTTTCATTATAAAAATGATTACACTACTATTCATCTTAGTAATATTATAAGTTTTAAA